CGGCACCAACCGCCGAGTGTCCCGCCTCACTTCGACAATTTATATACCCTATGTGTGTTTCCTTCGCAAAGACATTGCCAACAAAGATGCGCTATGACGAGATCTTTCGATGAATCTAATGCAACTCCGCCCTTTCCTTTTACTCTTGCCAACGAGTCGTCATTATTTTATTCGAACTACATGCTCGATCGTTAATCGCAAATTAAACAAATGACTTTCTAATCAGATTGGCGCGGATACTTCTTTTAATTCTAACATCGAGTTAAAAAAACGAATTCATCGGTACGTTAGACACGAATAAAAGACAATGTATTTTCTTTGAAATCATCGGATATTCTAAACGAAACACTGATCTATATTCTCAGCTAGACTCGATGGATAAAGTTGCAAAAAATTGAAATAGACGTGAACTAAAATATTGCCGAAGTTAAGTATACCATATTGATTTATTTTGATTTTATTCAAGAACTCGATAGAATGTAGAAATCGATAGAACGTATGTAGATGGAAGACACTACAATTATTATACGTTTCGAATTACGAGTCTAAAACCAGTCGATATCGTTTTCGTTAAAGAAATTACTTGACGTCTTCCATACTGATACCTTCCGGGCCATGAATGAATTATTATCTCCGCATGAAGATCAATTCCGTGCAAGTTATGCTAACGTCTTATTCGGCTCTTACCCGGTGCACATCGTCCCACACTGGATTTCTCCTTGTGATTACGCAGGTGGACTCTCCTTGCTTCTTCCCGTTCTTCCAAGAAATGTAAACGGTACTATCTAGGTGGTAACTTCGAATCGATGAGTTTGATCATATGATCCAATTTCACAAAGCCCCTTTTATGCCAACGTCATTATTCAAAATGATAATTAATAATTTTCATTAAAATGTTGGGAATAATCTTTGATATGTTTTCTTCTTATTGCCTTTACCCATAACTTGCAATTAAAACGATGAACGTATAACAGCTGGTGTTTAATTATTATAAAAGACACGTTAATTCGTTTGCTAGTCTTCTTACAAGTTCGCTAATTAATTTCGAATTTAATTTTCTAAAGAAGAGGAAGAAGATGAAGAAGATGAAGAAGATGAAGAGGAAGAAAAAGAAAAAGATAAGAAGAAGAAGAAGAAGAAGAAGAAAAAAAAGAAGCTGACGATAATGACGAATATTTATCCATTGAAATATTTCTTCGAACGTAAATCGATGCGGTCTTAGCCATAACACGATTGATACCCGTTATTTCGCGCTATAAATCCTGGCCTGTGCCGTCCACGATGAGAAATAATAATCTAGGATTAATTGGTAGAAGGCGGATCGCCGACTAATCCTCATTTTGTTCGTTAAACCGGAAACTTAATTAAAAACTCACGTCTAACGAGTTCCACGATACGGGTGGCACGTCCACCCACTTAACGTGCGCTCACTCGTGCTCACGTATCGACGAGTCTAAGGTGGAGAAACGAGAGAAGAACGTGAACGTTAAACTATCTCTCTCTCTCTCTCTCTCTCTCTCTCTCTGTTTTTCTGGTCACGTATAAGAACAACTTAGATTCCTTACAATGTATAGCCCCGATAATCGATGATGCTGTGCAACAGGTTACCTTCTAATTTCTATTTTCGAAGACTTTACCATTTTTCTCTCAATCCATCGTCTCTTCTCTTAACAATCGCGAGTTTAAATCGAGCGTGTATCGTCTTCGAGTACAATAGTTCCGCTTGGCATACCGTTAGCAGACCGATACGAATATTCCGTAGGGTCAAAGAGCACGACGCAGCTAAGAACGGATATAGACTCGTTCTCTATCCCTCTCTTTCTCTATCTCTTTCTTTGTTCAACTCCTCCCACTTGGTTCATCCTCTTCTTCCCATGGATTAGCTAAGCCATGTATTTTATTTCTTACAGTGCACGTAAAGTACGCTTTCATTCATCCTTTTCTTTCGATCACCCACTTATTTCTCCCTTTATCCTATAGCTTCCTTCCTTCCTTCCTATCTTTTTTCCCTTCCATTCTTTCTCTATTTCTTTACGCAGGTATCCTTGGCAGCGGTCCATTAGCGTCAACCGATTATCCCTCAAATTGGTAAATTCGAAAAATACACGTTACATACTTTGCTCATAAATCGGCGGATTAACCTCAGCATTTAACATTATCAATTACGTACGACCCTTGACTCTAAGCACGCTCGATCATAGCACGTCCGTGTCAGGCACACTGAACGATAGAAGAGAAAGAGAAAAGGAGAAAGAGATAAAAAGAGAAAGATAGTGAATTGTAAGTCTGCGTTATTAGCGATAATGCTCGAGGTTCGCTTAGTTCTTCTTAGCGTGGGCGAGTCGGAAGAAAAAGGAGGACACGATGTGAACTTCGAAAGAAGAGAAGACCCGTCAGAACGTTCGGATGAGTCCGACATCCATTAGATAGCGAAGATCATAGTGCTTGTCTATGGACAGAAAGAGTGAGAGAGAGAGAGAGAGAGAGAGAGAAAGAGAAAGAAAGAGAGTCGCGTTAATGGCTCTAACGAGATGATGCCTCAAGGAGAAGGCGATGATGATGAGGGACGATGAAGGTGGATGAGCGACTTGTTCAAAAGATCGACTAATTAAACGACTAATTGTAATTACAAAATTTGTTTTTCAACGTATCGAGAAAGATGTATGAAATAAGTGAAAATGTTCTTGATCATTTTTATTCGACCCTCTTTTATTTCTTTCTTTAGTTAGGATCCGATTCGATCTTTTTCGAAATGGAACGGTGTCCCTGTGTGCGTTTGTGTGCTCGCGTCGAGTCAGTTCGCGTGTTTACATAAATCTCCACCCTGTTGATTCACGACGGACAGGAAAACTCGCGTGCCAGTATCGCGTTACGCAATATCGCATGCTCGACTCGACCATAAATGATCGCTCCTCTCTCCCAAATCGATTATCTCTTAATCCCGTTAGCCTGGTCGAGCGTATCGTGTACTACTTAATTCGTAAACCGATTGCAACGGTACATGCCATCTTATGGATGTTTCGTCGTCCTTTGATAACTTAAATATGAATACGATATGGTTAAGAAAAATCAAATTCATAATACTTAAATAAGAATATAGCTCTTCGTATATCTTTATTTCATTAAAGAAAATTCGAAAATAATAAAGTAACGAGTACCTATAGCGAAGAGGCAGCGATTATGTGTTTACTAATTATATACCCAAGCAATTTAGCATGGCGAAGGAACTATTAGCGCGTAACGAGGTAGTCCCTTAGAAATAACAATTTTTCCAACGATCATCCGAGGCACCGGACGGACTTGGACGATCAAACAAATCTAGCGGATAGGCGCACGCGTCTACTTCAAATTAAAGTGAGTCTCTCTCTCTCTCGCTCTCTCTGAAACGATGGTCAATAGATAATCGTTCGCTATGTAGGAAAGGCGTAGCAAAGGCGTAGCATATTGGAGCCTTCCTAACATGAACGCTACTCGGCAATCTATTGACCAAGAGTATTAATTAGTAACAGTAATGTCATGGACGTTTAACATGCCTCTTGTACCACGCGCGCGTTGTAACCAGCAAGCAAGAAGATATCGTTCTACCGTGTGTGAGCTTAAAGTAACAGTCCTATGATGTCGAAGGTCGCTAAAGAATTTTCTTCGTATGCTTAACGGATTATAATATTCTTTAGTTAGAGTCCTTACTAGCAAAGAAACCTTTGCTCTTAAGACGGACAGGCCAAACGTTAATATCGATTATCGAGCATGGAATCGACTAATTGGCATTGAGTTAGCGCCACTTTAATGCAACTGCTTTTCTTCTAATGTAACTCGAATTTACATTGACACTTTAAACACGAGCTTAAGCTTTAATCCTTAAAACTTGACATTTATTAATAGGATATTTATGCTCGTCTAAATACTAATTTATTAAATACTTTTCTAACGTGTTACCTGTCTAACCTAACTCTATTTGAGAAATGAACGATTGGTATACGTGAAAAAAGAGACATATTTAAGAAAGATAATAAACGATCTAACGCTCTACAGGTTTTCTGACGAGTACTTCGGAAGTACGGAAGAGGAACCTATGTTACCTAACCCATCTGGTGGAGATCGTGACGCGTTACGTGATTTGTTGGATTGTCGAATGATTTGTGGAAACGTCTTCGGTTGCTCGAAGCTTGTCAGCGACCTGCTGCGTGTTCTTCGCTACAAATCGCGTTTATTCAGTCCTCTTTGAGTTTTTCAAGTCCTTCTTCAGAACTTCGACCTTCGATCTTTACTCTTTGATACAATCTTTAACACTAACATCGATCTTATGAGCTAACGAAGTTAAATCGCCTTAAATAAATGATAATCATTCCTTCTGATCCACTTGCAATCTTGTATTCGGTGCAAACAATGCTATATCAATCAGTCCATGTCATATGCGCAAGCAACTAAAGGAGATTATACAAGTCCGCTATCTACTTATATCGATAGTAAAGAAAATAATCCAGAAACTACTGATAATTTTAGCAAATTAGAAACATTAAATTTATTACATTATGATTTGGTGCCATACAAACAAGACTATTTGCAGTCAACAAGTGCCATGTTTCATGATTAGCATAATCCAATGAGCATTTCAGCAGTATATTGTCCATCTATGCACAACTTACTAAAAAAAGATTTAGATCTCTTCTTTACAAGCCTAAGTTCAAAATTCTTAGCAGGAGGTGATTTTAATGTTAAGCATCCACAAATAGAAATTTTGTTTAATTATAAGATATATTTTGTGTACACTTACAACTGTAACATCTTTTCTTCGTGTCATTGTATCACGTCATATTAAGTACTCATAATTCTCCTACAAGAATTGATTATATTTTTGTGTATTAAAATATAATAAAAAAGAAATCCCTCTTTGATAATCACATGTTATTATTTAAACTTTTATTATTCAACCAATTTTTGTGGGATTTCTATAAGAGAAATAAATTAAATGAAGGAATGAATTTTGTTTTTGTTCACAGTGTCGCCCACCTTGCCATCTTTGGGAGAAGTAGCATGGGAAAGAGAACAGGAACGAGATAGGGAGAGGGAGAGAACTCGAGAGAGGGAACGCGAAAGAGGAGGACGAGAAAGAACTGGAGAGAACGAAAGGGAACGACAACAAGAACGAGAGAGTGCTATCAGGGAGAGAGAAACGCGAGATCGAGAAAGAGAACGAGATCGCGATCGAGAGAGACAACGTGAGAGGGAAAGAGAGAGGGACGTTTCCGTTTGCGTTATGGAACCACCCGACCCAGTTTTCGTATCCTCCCCTGCAGCCCTTCTCGCTTTGCAAAGGATAAAGGAAGCATCTCTGTAAGTGTTACAATTTTATATTCATAGTTTTGATCATTTTTTAATTGATATAATATTTCAATTAAAAATGAAATACTAATATTATCTACCTGTGCCAGTTCAACTTGATATCTACAAAGAGCGACTTTATTATCAGTCAAAGATCGTTCGAAAACAGCAGGATATCTTGGCTCGTTCACCCAGCTAGTCCTAGACCGTTACGTAGCAGTATATTTCATCGAATGTATAAGCACGTCCAGCGTTAATAAGACGAGATCGTGCACCCGCTGTAAATCTCCTTTAATTTGCTTTCTATCTCTATCTTTCTCCTTGGCCTTAAGAGCGTGACTTCGTTGTCGAGAGAAAGAAGAAATAGAAAGAGGAATACTCTTGTCCTCCATTTAAAAAAATGACGAGGCGAGAGAGGGTTTTATAATGATATGGTTAGAAAACATCGTAATCTCGTGACACCTGTGCTACGCTAACAAACCTTTACTGCATTACTAGCTTTACATTCTTATAATTTTATATTTTCATCATTTCTTTCAACTATTTTTGATCTCCTTCTTCTTTGCATGATTACGATTCCCCTTTTGCACATTCATTACTTTGATTATATTTGTGAAGAAAAAATAGAAAATCTTGATAGCTACGAAATGTTGTTTCAAGCTCTCACATCTTTCAAAAACTGAAATCATCTCTCGATTAAAGTCCGTGGAAAGTTCACGAAAGTAATATCATCCTTTCTCATTACAGTCATTGCAACGAAGTAACGTTAACGTTAACATCTTTCACTCGACTTTTGACTTCTCTGACGCGTCTGCCACGGTGATTCAATCCGATGCCGTTAAATTCCGAACGATAACGATAGTTATACTTCGCTGCAAGTATAAATCACGCCTCTTAGCTCACCCTTATTCTCTCTCTCTCTCTCTCTCTTCCCTTTTTGCGCACGCGCATAAACATAAACGCATCTTCTTGATACCCGCATACGAGCACCCCCCATGGAGAAGGAGAACCGCTTTGCCACAAATATACTCCGCTATTTCATCTTCCCGTGTATCTATTAGCTCGTCTTGTCGGCTCGTTCAGTCGAATGAAAAATTGTCCGATAATCGTATCTCTCTTTCCCCCCTTCTCTCTCTTCCTTTCTCTCTCTCTTTCTCCTCCAATGAGAGTTAAGTACGTTAGTACGTAGATGGTTACTTAGTTCTCCAAAGTAAATTTCATTTCAAAGACCTAAATCAATTCTTCTTCGCGTGTTTCGATTAATTAGATAGGATAAATCTCTGACGACATACGTCGTATTAAAGTACAACCTGGAAATAAGATCATACGGAATGATTCTTAGCTCGCCTACAATTTCGTACTTAGCTCATTCAAATGAAGACAAGAGTAAAAAGAAAGAAAGAAAGCAAAACTAAAGAAAGAGAGAAAGAGAAACGATATCGATCAAAAGTCATTTCGAACGGGCAAGTTTGCATTGGTGAATCAAGTTGTGGATCTTGCGACGATGTTAAAAAAATAAAAAAGAAAAAACAAAAAAAAAGAAAAGAATCACGAAGGTCGGTAGTAGGTAGATAGGTAGGAAGGAAAGTAGTAGATAGGTACTACGTATACGTATGTACTTACGTACGTACTACGTACGTACGCGTCACCTTGAAAAGAGTTTGTGCAGGGAGTGGCGGCTATCCTTCGTCGGGAACGTGCCCGAGCGCATGTTACCAGCGATCTTATTATAACCTTCGTCCAATTAAGCGGCTTTCGAATCGTCCCTGTACTCGTCCCAACGGACTTATCGCGCGCTGTAAATTAGCTTATCCGGTTCTCGCGATTCTCGATCGAGTACCTCGAAACAAGGGTTGTGGATCTACGTTTCTCTCTCTCTCTCTCTCTCTCTCTCTCTCTCTCTTGTTTTCTATCTAAAAAGAAAAATCTTATTCTCTTTCTTACAAAGGTAAGTTTAACTTTTCATTTAACTTCCTTTTACATTAGCGGATACAAAAACTGTTTTACGATTAAATGAAATATAACTGTTGAAAGCGTTCAGTAGTATAACTATACAGTTTTTTTACTCCGACTTCGAGACTAAAGTAGAAAAAGAAGCTCACCGATGCGTTGCCTTTAAATTTATTTCTACTACCTACTTCAAATGTGATTTGAACTTTGACCGGTTCGGAATTCGTCGCATTCCAAAGTTAAGGGTCATTGTCCGAATGTCTTCTAACAAAAATCTCTTCCTTATATCGAAATTCTCGGGAGTGAGAAAGAGAAAGAGAGTGGAAGAGAGAAAAGCAACACAAATTCGCCGTTTTTATGACAGTTCGCGCGGACGTTTGTGAAACGAAAGCGGATCTAGATGATCTCGCCCTGGCCATGCCGAAAAACAAGTCCCACCGGAGTACCAAGCGTCAAGATAAGATTGATCGAACGAGTTCGATACCAACGCTCCTTGTATCATCTTCTCTTTCTGTTTTTTTCTTTCTTACTCTCTTCATTTTTCTTTCTTTTTTTTTTCCTGGATTACACCGACTTCATAAGCGAACGAAAAAGAACGACAAAGAAAGAAACGAGGAAGAGAGGGTGAGAAGAAAACTAAAGTCTCATTCGAAAATTCCTCTTATTGTCCAACCAAAAAGGTTGGTCTTTGACTCTCGCGAAGAAAACAACTCACAGCGGGTGTCCGTTATTCGTTGGCGGTTCGTAAAATAACGCAACACTACTTTGACCAAACATCTTTTCCTTATTCTCTTTGGATACACGACTACTGTTTACCAAGAAAACCTACTGTCTTTTTTTTCCATCGTATTATCTAAATATTTGCCTATAACCAACAAACTCTTTCGAGATCTTACTTTTGCTTGAAAAGAAAAAAATTAATCTAGGAAATAATATTCTATACTAATAAAAGGAATAATCACGTTCGATAGCTTGCGTAACTCAAGCCAGTATCGATAATAAATCGTAAATCCTAGCGAATATTATAGGCGTACTAGGTGGAATGTAACAACGTCACGCTCGTTTAATTGTTCGGTGCTTGGCTATCCGCTTGAATTTATATACTCGTAAACGGGGTGAGAAAAACGACGATAGAACAACGCGGAAGCTGTATTCTCGTTCGTTAGATCAACCGAACTGGAATAAGAATCCAAGGAATATGAACGATTATTGGTTTCCGTTTAACAGCATCCAAATTCCTATAATACGTTTTTTCTGCGCTTTTTTTCTTCTGGCTAAAGATCGTGGAACTCTGACCCTGATATGTTCGTATCAATCCTTACCGTTCGTCCTTGTAAAACACCTGGAACAAAAAAAAACAGCCTTGTCTTAATATAAAGAAACAGAAAAAGAAAGAATAAATGAAAAGATGAAGACGTCGGCGCAGTCACCATATCGGAATTGAAATCGGTCGTCAGATTTTTTGCCAATCGCGTTCGCCCGTCATAATCAACGTCACCGGCAATACCGTGTGGCGTATAGTTAAAGAGAATGCTTGGACAAGAAGGTCTTGGAAAAAGTGATCTCGCCAAGCAGTTCTCCTCTTTGTATAGAGAGACACCGGCTGTCAAGACTTCTCTTATTGCTTGTGCATTAAACCAAAGATCATGATTCCAATGATGATTAGGATTCTGATCAAGTATCGATCCTAATGACACTTTACCTCGTTGACGATGCAAAAGTTAAATTTCGTTTCGATTGAAACGAAGGATGGATGATTCGATTCGATTCGATTTGATTCGATTCGATTCGATCGGATTCGTAATTACTGGGAAAATGATTAGAAAGTTAAGAAAGAAGAAGAAGAAGAAGGACGGTGGCGAGTAACGGCTAACCGGTTTCGAGGATAATTTATGTGCTCTTCCTTTCTCGCCGATCCCCTCCTCGACAAATCGGTCGCGTGAATCATCCAAGAAGCGGACGATTCGAACGCGTCTTCGTCGTCTTCATCGTCCTTTTCATCCTCCATAGATCCGACCTTTCAATCTTATAAGGATATGAATCGAGAACGTCGAACGAGAAGGAGAACGTTGTCCTAACATTTCAGAAGAAAACAATTACCCCTATCGGGATGATTAATACCTTTCCTTTTCACAGCCTTTAAAATTTGCTATTCTTCAATATGATTATACAATACTATAAACAATCGAAATGCAAACATTAAAACTGGCAACAAAATTATTTTTATATTATATAAAATTCATTTCCACAACGAAATAATACTGAATGTTTGTCATGATTATTTATTGATTTCAGTGTCTTTCACAAACGACCAACGCTGGCGAGTGGGATTGGATTAAGTGGTAGAGCTAATGCTGGCGTAGGTGGAAACGGAGCTAGTTTAGGGGTCGAGAGTGAATGCGGCGACGCGTTGAAGAGGCGCAAGGTTCACAGATGTGACGTCGCGGGCTGTGACAAGGTCTACACGAAAAGTTCCCACCTGAAGGCACACAAGAGGACTCACACTGGTAAGTTAATAACGAACATTTGACTTCGATCTTAAATCCCTGAAATTCGAGTCGCTCCTGAAGAGAGTGACAAGGGGAAGGAATGTTAAACATTCTTTTTTCTAAACGTGCTAGTTCTCTTCTTTAAGGAAGACCAGCTAGTACATACATGACCATTTATTATCGTGTCACAAAAGAAAAAAAGAGAGAAGAGAGACAGAGAGAGAAGCTGAAAGAGGTCGCACACTGTTCGTTACCGTGCATCGTTATACTACATCTATATGTATATAGATATGTGTTTATGTGTATGTGTGTGTGTGTGTATGTAGGTATGTATGTATGTATGTATGTATGTATGTATGTATGTATGTATAAAGAACGTCGAAAGAGCTCGTACTTGAAGAATTTCCGGTGGATAGGTACCTTCGTGAAGGCATCGCTGCTATCCAGAGGAGGGCAGAGGCGGCGTGGAGAGGGCGTGGTCGTGAGAACCAGGATCTTTTGTCTGGTCCATGCTTCGACCACGACTCGTTGGAAATCGCGGTGCTCAACCTCTGACAATTAACCTTGATCCTACCTCCCTTTTTCGTCTCCTTATCTTCTATTCTCTTGCTGTCTTTATTTCAATTTACCACAAAAAAGAAAGATAGAGAGATGATTGATGCTATAAAAACCAACTTGTTTGACGTAAAGTAGTTGAAGAAAAGAAAAAGCAAAGAAGAAAAAAATAAGAAACGTAGAAGCCTATTACGGTGACATCGTAGAAGTAATGAAATTTTTAATTACTTTGCCCATTAGATGCGGCATTATCGTTCAACAACTTTTACGAAAGTACAACGTCGTGATCGTTCGATACGAAAGGCCAGAACCTGATATACCAAGCTCAACTGGCGTTGTAAAGCGACCCGGAGAATAATAATTGTTTCAACGAGTGCGCACTGCGCGCTTCTTACCGTGTAAACTACCGTCTATTCGTCATTCTAACACCATTGCATTATACCGAGAGCGCAGAGTGAGAATGTTATATCTTTACTCGGTCTTATATACTTCTCTACCTTGCTCAGCTTAGAAGATGTGGGAAATGCCAATTCGTTGATCGCTTGGATCTCTTCCATCATATCTCGCGCGATTATCATTTGTCTTCGTGAAAATTTCTCTCGTGTCATGTCAAAATCTTCCTATATTTTTCTTCCTACTTTTCTTTTCTATCCGGTTACCCAAGTACGCAGAAGAATCTAAAAACAAATTGACAGAATTATGTAAATTAGCGAAATTTGCTACATGGGTCTTAGAGAAAACACGTTCTAATGGTTTTGAAAATTTTTCTTCGAACGTTTCATCTTCCCTACCATACGACGTAAATCAAACAAAGTTCATGACACTATCTAGAAACTTTGTAACATTTATAATGGTACATCCTCATATGAGCCTACAATGTCAGAGGTGCTTCGATCCATCGATTTTGCCTACCATGTTATAGCGATAACTATATAACTCTTGATCATTCGATTAATCTTATGGGTAAGCTATTGAAAAGAAAAAAAATCGAAATAATTCTCCCTTTAGATTATTCTTCCAAATTATCCTAATAATTCTTCTTCCTCCATGTGAAATTATTATATGGGAATAAAAATTTGAGAATCCCTGAGTATGTAAGAAAGAGAACTCAATGGCAGAAGGTTAGCGTGACCCTTGATAGACAGGGGTAAGGTTTAGTGAGATCTCATGTATCAATTAAAGCGAATTAGCCTTGGCATAAACTTGACAACGACCGTGAATTGGTTCCTTGTATCGAAGGATGCCGATGTATGTTGGTATGTACATCACACAGTAAGCACGAATACGCGTATGTAAGAGAACCGCGCTTCTACTTAGGATTCTTGTTGACAGGCCTACTATTAACAATGCACTTATGCTATATGACCGAAGGCTGCGATTACCTTAACCAGGAAATTCTGTATTTCCTGTTGAACACGAGCCACAACATTGTTCAACGTTTTAGGATTATACTTGGAAAATTATTAACCCAACTGAAGGATGAAGATCTATCTGGGAAAATATTTTCAAATTATTAATTGATTAGATTCCTCGGATGCCGTATATTAAAGATCGATTAGAAAATAACTTGTATGCTCGCATTCTTTCGTGTTCCATATCTCTTTAAAAATCTCATTATTTCTGCACTTCTTCTAAAGCATTATACATTCCTCGCGAGACACGCATCCTGTTATTCGCTAGGAAGTTATGCAGAAATGCGTTGCTTTTTATGAGAAAAAGAAAAAAAACAACAGAGAAAAAGAAAAGGAATAAAGTTGGAAAAGTGAGAAAAAGGCCACGCAAGCTTTACACCTATGTGGAAGGGCAAGTAACGCTCATTGTCAGATTTAAAGTTTTTTCCTATTACCTTCGTAAGTCGTTGGTTCGCCTCTCGTTAACGGCACGCATCGTGCGTGTCACTTACGGTCAAAGCAGCCTCCTCCTTTCCTTCCTCCTCTTCCTGGCTTCTTTTTTCTCACGAGACGCGACACGATAATTACCTTTCGCGTGGCAGAAAACTAATCCTGAAAGGGAAACGAATTACAGTATTATATTGTATATCGTACTTTCAAGGATAACGATGATAAAATAATAATAATTAGATCGGACTACCTTTTGTTGATGATTTAACAAGGATAGCAAGATATTTCAAAAAATGATTCTTGAATTCTTTTTTTCTTTGTTTTTTTTTTTTTTTTTCTTTTATTTCCCTCTTTCTGTCTTGTTCACCGGAAAAAATCCTAACGACTTTACGCGACATTAAGAAGCAATTTTGATTCGTGTCGGTAATATGAAGAAACTCTTTTGTTCCTTCCATCGTTTATTCGCAGATTCGGACGATCAGCATTTTTTATCATAAATGAACAAGATAAACGTTTTACTTGGCGTCGAAAGAGAAAGAAAAAAGAAACAGAAAAAAAGAGGGGGAAAGAGAGAGAGAGAGAGTACATTTGAAAACGAGTAATTAGCTTGGATTGGAGGCGTTAATGGTGGCCAATTACGTCGACGCGTCATTAAAATGAACGATCAAGAATGGCTCTTAATCTCGCTCGAAAATGTCGGTATAGCTCGTAAAACGATATTGGAAAGGATTTCAACAATAATCCTCCCTCCCTCCTGCCTCCTTTCCTCCTTCATTTTTGCACTTGACGTCACGATTATATTAGGGGAATTGTTTGAGAGAGCTAATATCGTCTGCTTGTAAACGTCATCGAGAAGAAAAAATTCAAGAGAAAGATACGAGAGATGACGATGCAACAACAATAACCGGAACAAGAAGAACAAGAAGAAAAAGAAGAAGAATAAGCCTAAAGCGATCGCATTTTCCGCATGGAAGAGGAGCGAACGATTATACAACTTTGAAAAGGTATCTGTTCTATTGTGAAGGTAGGAAGCTTGGTAAAGGCATAGGTACATTTGCTATAGTTGCACGTATTATGCGGTCATGAGTCGACGTTACAAATGAGTGGCTAACTTCGTCGTTACGGTTAACTAATGAGCTTGGCGAGGTAACGCGGCGTTAATCTATGGCGCAATAAACGTAACGCTTCTACGGAAAAATGCGATCAAAATGCATTAATAACGTTGGAATTAATGTCTGTTCCGACGGTATATACTTACATACTTGGCACCATACGCGTTTCGATCCAAGCGTTGTATACGCTTTTACATTCGCGAAAGAGAGAAAAAGAGAGAAAGAAAGAGAGAGAGAGGGAGAGAGAGAGAGAGAGAGAGACTGTGTGGGTGTCCGTTCGCGTCACTCGTAAATGGACTAATTACTCAGAATTACGTAATCAACGACGCCACGATTTGCTTCCCCGTCATTAGTCGTTTCTACGTTCAAAGAGAATTACATAATAATATTCTCTCGATGATCCTTCTCTTCCATGTTAAAATGTTCGATTTTAATCTTCATTTTGAATGATTTCTCTTTTACAAATACATCCCAATTTTAATGGGTTGACGAGAAAAAAACAAAAGGACGATATTGATCAAACTGAAGATAAAAACTCGATGACACGTCTTGTGGTCGACCTCTTTCTATTTCTTCCTTTCTCTCTCTCTGTCTCCCTCTCTTTTTTTTTTCCTCCTCCTTGTACTGTTCGTTTTTCGATCAGCCATTATCCGCGTTTAGTCGAAAGCGCTTAATGGGGATCGCCCGAGCCATTCTCGATCGTAAAGTTCGATTATCCACGCTCCGTCTTGGTCGTGGTCTTCACTGGGAAGGACTCAAGTCGATCTTCAATTGCGTCATCGAGTTGTGATCGTTTCCACGTCCGGAGTGATGGTCAACGAGAAAAGAGAACGCGCTTTCTCTCTTTCTCTCTCTCTCTCTCTCTCTCTCTATCTCCATTTGGCTTTTTCTCTTTCTCTCGTCTTCAATCGAGAAATCCAAGCTGGTGACTTGCATACAATAGAGGAGAGCGATGGGCGGTTTTCTGCACGAGATCCAGAGTCGTTGCAACGTGCGACAGCTGTCGAGACGTCTAGCGAAGAAGAGGGTCGTATCTCCGATAAGAGAACCGACTCTTGCCCATGGAGATGCTTACAAGGACGCTCTCGCGTTACGACCAATCCGCTAAAAAGCGTACCCTGAACAGGGTTCGCAAGAATAGCGAGAAGGGAACGACCTCCACTTGCAATAATTGGGTGCGAAAACGACACCAACGAAGTTACTTCTCCTTTTCTTCAGATTTTATCTCTTTTTCTCATTCTATCATTCTATCATTAGATCTATCGAAAAGTACCCTTCGATTATTACATAATTATTACTTAATTGATATGAATTAAATATAATAATTAACGGTATACGCTAATTGATAATCTTATTAGATACTATTCAATTTGAAAAGATAACACCACCTATCAGTATTACATAAATAATCGTGTTATAATAATTGTTTTCTTATTTGTTACAGGAGAGAAACCGTATCAATGCACGTGGGAAGGATGTACGTGGAAATTTGCACGTTCGGATGAGCTTACGAGACACTATCGCAAGCACACTGGCCAAAAACCGTTCAAGTGCCATCTCTGTCAGCGATCGTTTTCTCGGAGCGATCATCTCTCTCTGCATATGAAGAGGCACTGATTAGCTAACGTCCGAACGACGATGATTATTAGATACTACAGAGGAAGAACAGAGAAAGAAAGAGAACAAGAGAGAAAAGGAAATAGAGAGAGAGAGAGAGAGAGATAGAGAAAGAGAGAAACGGTGGATAGAGAAAAATGAAGATTCTTTCAAGCTCGAAACTCATCGATGCAACCACCGAAAAATCAATATTTAAAGACTACGACGACGGAAACGACGATTTTACATCGGGACCTGAAGAGCTTAGGCACTAAATATAATAATATCGTTCGATTATGAACGACAATGCCTGGCTGATTGAAATTAGAGATGAAAGTTGAAGAATTTTTAGATTGTTCGTTAGATTTAGAGCTTTTTCCTTCTTTGTTTCTTTTTTCTTAACTTTTCTTTTCTTTTTAACATTACGATTATCACGAAATGATCATATATATTTGTTCGTATCACGCCTTTCCACTTTTTCCTTAAAACTCACGACAGATATATAATTTTGCTATTTTATTTTGATTCTTCTCGCCAATCGAATTTTTATGTAGTTTCGCATTCACTGCTTTTCATTTTTCTCGGTTTTTTTTTTTTTTTTTTTGAAATTTGTTACATTCGTTTAACAACAAACTCGTCCGTAAATTTTGACGAGTTAAATGACGACTCAAAGTCTTACACTTTTAAATTATTAAACATAAGTTAGAAAAAAATAAAAAAAAAAAGATTAGAAAAAAAGAGCGAAAACAAGATAAAGTTGATCGAAACGTTTAGAGAAATTCGCAAAAATATCATTGATCGACTTTTAACTATAATACATACATACTTCGATCATTATGCACAAAGAATTTCGCGTTTAGAAACGGACAATCATTTGCGTTTCGTTGAACGAAAGATTAGAAGACATTCTAAAAGGTCAGTATTACAAGTGCATTAAGCAATATCGTCGTGGCATTAAATCAATGCTTCTTCGTATATATATATATACGATATACATTAGTCGTGCGCTCTTCGATCGTTCGAAAAATTGTTAAAAAGAAAAAAAAAGAATAAGAAGAGCCAAACGACGACGTAGGCGTTAGTTCGTCGAAGGAATAATTTTTAATAGCCTCACGTCAAGGTGCCAAATATAGGAAAAAAAAAAGATAAAAGATAAATAAATAAATAAAGAAACAGTGTAAAAACTTTATATAGAGATACCTGTTTAAAATTGTTAAAATTAAGTAATCGATTGTAAATAAAAATAAGAGACGCTCATATCAGAATTTTTTTTGTAGACGATCTCGACAAATATCTTGAAATTCGAGCTTCTTGAATAATCGTGATAGATAATTTTGAATGAAGACGGCAACCTTGACGTTAAAGCCTAATTGAAACAAGCTTCGTTTAGCTCGAGAGAGAGATACAATCGAATAAAGAGATATAAATTCAACTTTGCGCTTCGAATGTAAAAAGGATCGCAAATATCACGGGACCTCGCAAATCAGCACGCATTTACTCTCGTAATTACTTTGTGCTTAGTTAAATGTAAACACGATTTTCGAAGATAAGAAAGGGATGGATGATAGGTAGAAGAGGGAAGGATTGCTCGAATGAGGATCGACTTGATTACAAGCGAATTGATTATGTGTGATTACGAAGCGGATTGATTTCCTTGTTTTTTTTTTTTTTTTTTATTTCGCTAATACGCTAATCTATACGTTCAACGTAAGTTGAATGACGACGACAGCGACAGCGACGGCGACGGCGACGGCGACGGCAACGGCGACGATGATGACGACGATGACGATGGTAATGAAGATTAGAACGATCGGTGGTGAATTAACTAACATTGTTACATGTTGTATTCCGATAGGTAATAGTGCCTTCTAAGATTAAGGATGAGAACGCTGCGTTAGGCCTTAAGTATTACTGCTAGTGCCTTAAGTCACGCGAATCTTCGTGCTTGTACACCTTTCATAATCCGACCCTTCGAATCCTCGCCCGAAGGAACGGGCTAAATTTTCACAACTCGTATGCGTTTAACGTTAACTTCTCGATGCGAAAATCGCAAATCGTGCTCGAACTTTCACTCCTCGTGACTCGCCGCTCCACACACTGTGGTGGTGTCTAGTTCGTCGATCGGTCTGTCGTCGAAACTTGAAAACTTATTTTACTAACCGTTCGAATCTTAACTGTTTTCTAAAAACAAAACAAAAAATATATCTAATCCTCATTATTTTCAAATTAGCAATATCCCATCTGAAACATAGAGAAACGTAATTATTTAATAATATCACGTGTGAGTCACGATTAGTTTTCCTTCTTATATAAAATATATTATTATTACTACCATTACTATTATTATTATTATTTCAGTCGTAAATCTTTTCCCACGCGCGATATACATAATTGAATTTCCGGAATGGAGGAGGATAAAAATGTATGAAGGCCCTGGGGATATCGGTCTCGTTAAAGAAAGCTAATCGTAAAGACACGAGGACGGGCGTGTCTTGTTGGTCGGTGCAAAAGCGCGAAACGCAGACTAGCCGCTACGCTCCGGGTAGCTTGTAAATAATTTTCGCATCGTCGTCCGCGCGAAATTCAATCTGAAAATGGACGAGGTGCCACCCAAGAGGCCGTTTTACGATCTTGATGACTGATACCGTTGTACCTTCCTTGTAGGGAATTTCTTCGGGGCTTGAGCAGCCGACAGTAATCTGAGCGCAGTGCGGGCGATGAGAAATGTATACTGACGTCACGCCGACACCATCCTTGATCATTATCATTTTTTTTTCTCCTACTACTCGCGCAAACGCACGCCAGGTCGTGCACTTACTTATGTATATAAAGTAGACCCCTTTCAACCCTTTCCCTCCTTCAACCCCCTCCCTCCTTCTTTAAGCTTCTTCTTATTCTGCTTTTGCTTCATCTTCTTCATTCTTACACGTTACGATTTCAAATACGAGATCGTCCTTAAATCTGAGAAAAACTATTCTATTTCAACTAACTATGACGATCGCGTGCGTTTTCATTTAAACGAAAAAATCATTCGACTTGAGTTTCACGACGGTAATGCGAAACCTATTCGATCTATTTACTATTATAATACTCGCCCGGTCGAATCAATAAATGGCCACAAAAAAAAAAAAATATGAAAAATTAAGGATTCAAATTTACCGTCCGATTTTGTTCTTTCTAAAATGGCCGATCCAAGGAAAATTCTAGCATCTCAAGTGCCTTAAAAGATGTTATTAGACCGGTCGAGATCCTTTCGAGATTCTATTAGCTAAGAAATCATTTTTCGTTGCCGATTATTAAGAGATTATCATCGATTATCGATTTGGAAAGAATATCGAATTAATATTTAAAAATAAAACAACAAAAAAAGATTAGATATTATATATTATAATCGTTCGATTTCCTATTTTGGAAATAACTCTCGCTAACGGTTCCTAGATTCGTCCTAAAAATTCATTATTTATCGTTCGTGTTATTAACTTCGTTATCGAAAATTTCATTGTTGTTATATTAACTAATTACTTTCTTCGTTCGTGCATTTAAAAAGATGCATCGAATTATAATATCGCAGGGTAGAAAGAGTTTCATACACGAATAATCTATATAATAACTTAAATCTAAGAAATATTTAACAATAATTTACTAGAGCCTATGCATCGCTATGACATACAAATATTTATTTCTTCACTTTTCTAAGTCAAAATTATATAATTGCATACGTTTCCTCCTCTCATAGCTCATATCCTATAATAAAATTTACTAAACAATTATCAGCGTTAATCTGTTCAAACTACAATGTTAGAAAATATTACGTGAACGAAAATGATAAAATATAAAAAAACATAGCGATGCAAAGACCGGTATATATAATAACATTTAATAACTTATTTAAAACGAAAGAATGAAACTTGTTGTAGTTTTAATTGAATTTTCCTGAAAAGACACAACACATAGTATATCTCCTTTGAAAAAAAAAAAAAAGAAAAAAAAACTAAAAGACGAATTATTTATTTACAAGGGTCTAATCTAAAGTTTTTATGTGAATGGACAAATTCTTCTAGATGATTATAAAAATCAAATTTTAGAAATTGTTGAACATATTTTTTTTATATTGTAAAAATACAAGCTAAGCTTGTTTTAAGAGAAATTGATTTTTAAAATCATCTAGAAGAATTTTTAATTCATTTAGAAACTTTTGATCTACCCTTAATCTCTTTCCTCTTTCTTTTTTTACTAACTTTACTCTATTTCTTTCACTACCATTTATTTACGTCTTCTTCTTCCCTTATTAAACTCCTATTCTTGAAATTCATCGTTCGATCGACATAGCTGAATTCGTTGTAGAATTCATCCTTTTGACGAAATGTGATGAGCGTTGAGTTCTTGAAAAATCATAAACTATTGGTAAAAGAACAAAGTAAAATGTGATTACAAATTAGGTGAAAAATATTATTTATGCTCCTCTATGCTTTCTCTCCCATTACTTTTTTTTTTTTTTTTTGTTCTTTCGACATTTTCTTGTACGATTATTTATCCTAAAAAAACAAAATTCTAATTAAATGCGTAATCAGCTCGATCGACGAACGATTAACTTAAATAATTAATGTTACGATTAAAATTCAGGCCTATGCATTGTACTGCATGACGAATAATAAACGAAACTATTAGAATATAAGAATAGCCAATATAGAGGAGCAATAATTATTGTAAATAAATATGTAAAGTTTATCCGTTGAATATCTCGTTGATGGATAATTAGAAAAAAAAAAAGACAAAAAACTATAGTCTAGAATAATCTATGTCGCGATATAACTATATATGTATAATATATTAATTAATATAATATCAATGGGGGCCAGTAATTCTCTTTTTCCCTTTCTCTTTCTCACTCTCACATTAACTGTTTCTTGCTCTATCTCTCTCTCTCTTTCTCTCTCTATCTCTATCTCTAATCTGCGCTCTTACAATTAGATCTCGCACACACACACACACACACACACACACACACACATACATATATACGAACTATAACGAGCTGCGTCGAGTAACTAAAATTCCAAATTTTCCTTCTACATTCTTTTTCTAACTTTCACGAAGTGTTTTTTTTTTTTTTTTGTTACGATTTTTACCTTAACACGTCTAAACGCATACTGTGACTCGAGTTATGTATATCCAGGCGAACGATCTACGTTAAGGACAAACAATGTTCTTATATATCCGTATCAATTCTAACTTTCACGAGAGGACTGCTTTCTTACGATTCTTACCTTAACACGTCTTAGACAAGTACTGTGACTCGAGTTATGTATATCCGGGCAAACGACCTACACGTCGAGGATATAACAAATCTATGAACTCGTATCAATGAACTCGTTTAAATGAAATACAACAGTTCTTAGAATTGAAATAGAAAAGAAGCGAAAATTTGGAAGATGAAAAATAATGGTAACACGACTGCGAGCCACTAACTATTTTATTCTACGTATTGTTTATGTTGCGTATAAACGTAGATATATACACACAACAATAATTAATTAATAATAATAAAAATAATAATAATGACATAATAATAATAATAATAATATT